GCCCGGGTTCGATTCCTGGCAGAGGCAGAAACAAATGGGCAGTTTCTTTCACCTTGATGCCCTGTTCACCTAGCAGTAAATAGGTACCTGGCAGTTAGATAGCTGCTACGGGCTGCTTCCAAGGGATGTGTCCGTGTGTTAGAGAAATAAATGTAGTAGACATAAGAGGAAAAATAAATGGGTTAGAAAGGCGGGACCCAAGAGCTAATAGCTCGATTCTGCAAATACAAATAGTAAATACACACAGTAAAAATGCAAGGAGGCCGAAGAGATCTATACCAAGAGTAACAAAGGAGGAGGTATATAGAAGCTATGGTTTAACAGTGCCAGGAAGCTCAAGTGAGACGCCCCACACACACACACACACACACACACACACACACACACACACACACACACACACACACACACACACACACACACTCATAGTCCTTTGGGGCCCGGGTTTCATTTCCGGCCGAGGCAGAAACAAATGGGCAAAGTCTTTTTCATCTGATGCCTCTGTTCACCTTGCAGCAAATGGCAACCTTGGAGACAAAGCTGTTACGGGCTGGACCCCGAGTGTGTGAGGGTCGAGAGAATAATTTATATAGATACAAGGAGGAAAACAGGTCGGGGGTTGGTACATTAGACAGCCGCTAGTTAGACAGTCGGGGTCCAAGAGCTAACAGCTTGATTCTGCAGGTACACATAGTGTACACACCCACCTACACCCTCTAGGGCACTCCAGGTGTCCAGCACTACACCTGTACCTGCTGCACCCTACTGGACACTGGGGGGGGGGACACAGGGGGAGCGGGACACTGAGGGGGGGGACACTGGGGGGAGCAGGACCCTGGGGGGAGCAGGACACTGGGGGAGCGGGACACTCAGGGGTAGGACACGGGGTAGGACACGGGAGGAGGGACACTGGGGGAGCGGGACACTCGGGGGTAGGACACGGGGGTAGGACACGGGAGGAGGGACACTGGGGGGAGCGGGACACTGGGGAGAGCGGGGCGCGGGACGGGTGGGGGGGGGGGCGAGGGACAGGAAGGAGGTATAATCAGTGATGGTAAGGCAGGTTAATAAGGTATAAATTACAGGACGGAGTAGGTCTCATAAAGAGGCAATGGAACCTGCCCGGCATGGGTGATGAGGGTGACCGGCCGGGCCAGGGCCAGGGCCGGGCCAGGGCGACCAGGGCGGCCAGGGCGACCAGGGCGGCCGGGGCGAGGGCCGGGCGACCAGGGCGGGCGACCAGGGCGGCCGGGGCGACCAGGGCCGGGCCAGGGCGTCTGGGGCCGGGCCAGAGCGGCCAGGGCGACCAGGGCGACCAGGGCCGGGCCAGGGCGGCCAGGGCGGCCAGGGCGGCCAGGGCGGCCAGGGCGACCAGGGCCGGGCCAGGGCGGCCAGGGCGGCCAGGGCCGGGCCAGGGCGGCCAGGGCGGCCAGGGCCGGGCCAGGGCGACCAGGGCCGGGCCAGGGCGTCTGGGGCCGGGCCAGAGCGGCCAGGGCCGGGCCAGGGCCGGGCCAGGGCCGAGCCAGGGCGGCCAGGGCCGGGCCAGGGTGTGTACAAAAGCAGTGCTGGAGGTGGTCTGGTGTCAATGTGCTGCCTTACTGCCCAACAATGGTGGCTCACCTCACAAATGGGTGTTCATATGTAGACTGACGAGTCTGCAGAGGGCAGCAGAGCCCAGCTCACTACCGTCGGCGTCCTCGACGATCTTCTCATACACTTCTTGGTTGTGTATCTGGCATGCATTGTGGCCTCGGCACAAGGTCTGATATTTGTACAATTCTTACCTCTGGGACAACCCGGCTGGAGTGGAACAATTAGGGCAGCTGGAACAAGATGGAGACAGGTGGGGGGAGGGGGGGGTTATCTTGAGGTTATCTTGAGATGATTTCGGGGCTTTTAGTGTCCCCGCGGCCCGGTCCTTGACCAGGCCTCCACCCCCAGGAAGCAGCCCGTGACAGCTGACTAACACCCAGGTACCTATTTTACTGCTAGGTAACAGGGGCATAGGGTGAAAGAAACTCTGCCCATTGTTTCTCGCCGGCGCCTGGGATCCAACCCGGGACCACAGGATCACAAGTCCAGTGTGCTGTCCGCTCGGCCGACCGGCTCCCTTGTCTCTTAATTAATTTCTTAATTCTCACACAAATTGACAAACTCTCGATCTAGGATTACTACCCCGCCCGCAGGGACCCCCTTCCCCGACACACACCCGACACCCGACACGCCGCCAGTGTCGGGTGTCGGGTCTCGGTCTCTCTCTCGGTGTCTCTCTCTCTCTACGAGAGAGACAGACATATTCTTGTAGAATACTGCACACTAACACCCTGGCCACATACAACACTAACACCCTGGCCACATACAACACTAACACCCTGGCCACATACAACACTAACACCCTGGCCACATACAACACTAACACCCTGGCCACATACAACACTAACACCCTGGCCACATACAACACTAACACCCTGGCCACATACAACACTAACACCCTGGCCACATACAACACTAACACCCTGGCCACATACAACACTAACACCCTGGCCACATACAACACTAACACCCTGGCCACATACAACACTAACACCCTGGCCACATACAACACTAACACCCTGGCCACATACAACACTAACACCCTGGCCACATACAACACTAACACCCTGGCCACATACAACACTAACACCCTGGCCACATACAACACTAACACCCTGGCCACATACAACACTAACACCCTGGCCACATACAACACTAACACCCTGGCCACATACAACACTAACACCCTGGCCACATACAACACTAACACCCTACAACACTAACACCCTGGCCACATACAACACTAACACCCTGGCCACATACAACACTAACACCCTGGCCACATACAACACTAACACCCTGGCCACATACAACACTAACACCCTGGCCACATACCACTAACACCCTGGCCACATACAACACTAACACCCTGGCCACATACAACACTAACACCCTGGCCACATACAACACTAACACCCTGGCCACATACAACACTAACACCCTGGCCACATACAACACTAACACCCTGGCCACATACAACACTAACACCCTGGCCACATACAACACTAACACCCTGGCCACATACAACACTAACACCCTGGCCACATACAACACTAACACCCTGGCCACATACAACACTAACACCCTGGCCACATACAACACTAACACCCTGGCCACATACAACACTAACACCCTGGCCACATACAACACTAACACCCTGGCCACATACAACACTAACACCCTGGCCACATACAACACTAACACCCTGGCCACATACAACACTAACACCCTGGCCACATACAACACTAACACCCTGGCCACATACAACACTAACACCCTGGCCACATACAACACTAACACCCTGGCCACATACAACACTAACACCCTGGCCACATACAACACTACTACACACTAACACCCTGGCCACATACAACACTAACACCCTGGCCACATACAACACTAACACCCTGGCCACATACAACACTAACACCCTGGCCACATACAACACTAACACCCTGGCCACATACAACACTAACACCCTGGCCACATACAACACTAACACCCTGGCCACATACAACACTAACACCCTGGCCACATACAACACTAACACCCTGGCCACATACAACACTAACACCCTGGCCACATACAACACTAACACCCTGGCCACATACAACACTAACACCCTGGCCACATACAACACTAACACCCTGGCCACATACAACACTAACACCCTGGCCACATACAACACTAACACCCTGGCCACATACAACACTAACACCCTGGCCACATACAACACTAACACCCTGGCCACATACAACACTAACACCCTGGCCACATACAACACTAACACCCTGGCCACATACAACACTAACACCCTGGCCACATACAACACTAACACCCTGGCCACATACAACACTAACACCCTGGCCACATACAACACTAACACCCTGGCCACATACAACACTAACACCCTGGCCACATACAACACTAACACCCTGGCCACATACAACACTAACACCCTGGCCACATACAACACTAACACCCTGGCCACATACAACACTAACACCCTGGCCACATACAACACTAACACCCTGGCCACATACAACACTAACACCCTGGCCACATACAACACTAACACCCTGGCCACATACAACACTAACACCCTGGCCACATACAACACTAACACCCTGGCCACATACAACACTAACACCCTGGCCACATACAACACTAACACCCTGGCCACATACAACACTAACACCCTGGCCACATACAACACTAACACCCTGGCCACATACAACACTAACACCCTGGCCACATACAACACTAACACCCTGGCCACATACAACACTAACACCCTGGCCACATACAACACTAACACCCTGGCCACATACAACACTAACACCCTGGCCACATACAACACTAACACCCTGGCCACATACAACACTAACACCCTGGCCACATACAACACTAACACCCTGGCCACATACAACACTAACACCCTGGCCACATACAACACTAACACCCTGGCCACATACAACACTAACACCCTGGCCACATACAACACTAACACCCTGGCCACATACAACACTAACACCCTGGCCACATACAACACTAACACCCTGGCCACATACAACACTAACACCCTGGCCACATACAACACTAACTACGGTCACCACACACCACACACTCCAACATTTACACTCAACAGAAATACGTGAAAGTGTATTCAGGAAAATTGAGTGCAAAATTTTCCTGTCAAATTAAGAGCCGCGTGAGAGCCGCGAGGTGGCCTGTTCGCCAGCAGACACGAAATGAGAAGTGTGTTTGTAGCGACAACACCACGAAGCTAAAGCTGGCTTGCAGCGAGGAAAATGCAAGTGAGCGGCAGTGCTCAGATCCTAGCGTGAGGTAGTGTCCTTAAGTGAGGAAGGTGAGGTAGAGGTAGAGAGAGACACTGGAACACTTACACTGGCGTAGACTTTGCCGCGCTTGTTCATGCAGAGGAAGAGTCCCGTGGCCTCGCTCCGGACCTCCATCACGTCGCGAAGGATGGGTCGCACGTACAGCAGCGCTGCGGGGGTGGGAGACACTGTTAGTCACGCCTCTATACACACTTAAGATCTACCTCTACATGCATCTTCATTCACACGTGTCTACACCCATCTACACTCACCCCCCGCCAAACACACACCGAAACTACGACATTGGTACAACGTTCGAACAAGTTTTAACACCTCCTAACCAGTTATAACAACCAATATAGCAAGTTGTAACAACGTTCTAATACGTCATAAACACGTTAAGCCAAGATGTAACAACTTTATTACAAGTTGTAACAAGCAGAAAATAGAGACAATTACGGTTTGTGTTTCCAGGGCCACCCCTCACTCTCCCTTGTTCCCATGAATCACAAGCTTGCCCTATTATTTGACCCACCACCCCACAAATCCCCAAAGGCCTAATTCGTTTCCCAGACCCAAACTGTCTGCCCTTGTCTGTACATTCGCTCTTTCACCGTCCATGCCAACACCGCTGCTCTGGCCACCAACCTTACCACCACAACCACCAGTCCCCCGGTGCCACACACCCCACCAGACATCATGGCAGTCTCATGTAACAGAAAACAGATAAGTAGCGAGATATATAATCATGTATACAAATGATGATTAGATCACAAACACGTCAATTTTACCATCAACAAACTCACAGTCAGAATCCAGATGTAACTGTGCTCACAGAATTATACATCCAGAGGGAACAGTGCAGCGGACTGCAGCAGTTGCAAGCTGGAATGGGGCCGGACTTGCATTACGGCCGGACTTGCATTACGGCCGGACTTGCATTACGGCCGGCCGCAGCACGCCAAGCCACACCGGGACGTAGAAGGGACACATTTCCATAACCAACATACTATACACCCACAAGAATGAGGAAAACAAACTAGCCGACCTCTCACCGTGTTCGAAGAAGGAATTGATAAACACCTCCAAAGGATATCCCATCAACCGGCTCCGTCTAACAGCGTAGTTGACCCGACCACCAACCAGGAGGCCTGGTCAGAGACCGGGCCGCGGGGACGGTGATCCTCGGAAGGAAGGGAAAGGTAGGCCGGGAGGAGTGACGGAAGAGGAGGTGCTGTGAGAGAAGGACCACTTGAGCATGGAAGAGAAGGTTGAAGGAAGAGCCATTTATAATAATCATGTATAGTACTTCTGGTTAACATATTCTCAGCTCATCATGTACCTGGGGACGCTATGGACGTGGGTTCGATCCCACTCTACGGCCCAACAGTCACTGAGGAGTCAGGTAACTGTTGTGGCTTGCAGCCTGAGCGAGGTCAGCAGTTCGACCAAGGAGAGACCTCGATACAAGCCCAAGAGCAATCTTCCTATTCCCGATAATGGGAATTATTATTATAAATCTCGGTTCATCTCCATGACAAGGAAGTCAAACCGGAGGGGACAAGGCTCTTGCGAACCAAGAGACATACAAGGCTCAACCCAAGTGGATGGTACACGGGCTCCCTCCAATCTTTTGCACAGAAGAGGGGAGCTAAGGGTCCCAAACAACTGCCCTCCGGTCGTTGGAGGCGACAATCCTCCTTTGGAGAAGGATGGAGGACTTGGGGAGGAGCGGGTAGTATTAGGTGACTGAGGGCTGGCATGAGTGGATGAGGCACCAGGAACACAAGGAAGCATGAGGCTGTGAGGACGGGCTGGGGAGTGAGGAAGCGGCCCGCCGCGTGAGAGAGAGCGCGGGACGGGCGCCTCACATCATATGCTCTCACCATAAAAGGAATCTGATTGTATCTAAAGCTATCTTGGGATTTGCTTACTCGCCATGGGATTATACCTTTGGCCATCTGGCCTTACACCTCTCTCACTCTCTCCTCACACTGCTAGCCCCCCCCCGGCCCTCACCCCCACACCCCCGCCACGACCCCCACACCCCCGCCACGACCCCCCACACCCCCGCCACGACCCTCACACCCCCGCCACGACCCCCCACACCCCCGCCACGACCCCCACACCCCAGTCACGACCCCCACTCCCCCGCCACGACCCCCCCACACCCCCGCCACGACCCCCCATACCCCCGCCACGACCCCCCACACCCCCGCCACGACCCCCCACACCCCCGCCACGACCCCTACACCCCAGCCACGACCCCCCACACCCCCGCCACGACCCCCACACCCCAGCCACGACCCCCACACCCCAGCCACGACCCCCCACACCCCAGCCACGACCCCCACACCCCAGCCACGACCCCCACTCCCTCGCCACGACCCCCACACCCCAGCCACGACCCCCCACACCCCAGCCACGACCCCCCACACCCCAGCCACGACCCCCCACACCCCCGCCACGACCCCCACACCCCCGCCACGACCACCACACCCCAGCCACGACCCCCACACCCCAGCCACGAACCCCACACCCCAGCCACGACCCCCACACCCCAGCCACGACCCCCAAACCCCAGCCACGACCCCCACACCCCAGCCACGACCCCCACACCCCAGCCACGACCCCCACACCCCAGCCACGACCCCCACACCCCAGCCACGA